GAAACTAAAATTTTTCTAATTACTAGTTTGGGACGTTTTCATGTGTTTCTAACATGTTTGGATACTTACAAGGTCAAAATAAAAGTCTTAACTTAATTGACCTAATCCAAAAACGAAATCGGAATAATTCGCTTAAGACGAGTTTTACGGACGGAACGGTTTGTGGCGATGGAACAACTTCGGGTTGTCACAGATTTCACGATCACATGAAAAATCCTACACCCGACATAACTGACTCGTAAGCCCAGTGTAAGGACCAAATTTTCAAACTTTTTATGAACCAATGCTAAAATGGGAATTTCCTGGAACACTGATGTTAAATATATAATTATCGGAATACAAAATAAATCATAAAACGCAGAACAGTGGTAAATATGCATAACAACACGAAGTACCTGAAACCATAAACATAGAATTGTAAGCACAAAGCTTAGTGTGTTTCCCAAAAATACCCCATAGTAACATACATAACAACACGAAGCTAAATTGGGTCTTCCTTTCATAATAAGTCCAATACTTACCAAACACCCCATGTCTTCTAAAAATCTTTACAAAATAAATCCCAGAATTTACATGTAACACTTGAAAATCCAAACTATATTTTTTGGCTCCCTAAAACCATCACCCCGCTATATATATTATGGACTCTAGGACCACTATTCATTAATTAATCTTTATTTGTTTGTTTATTAATAGATAGAATGTTACAACTCTCTCCCACTTAAATTAGATTTTGTCCATGAAATCATTCCTTACCATTCCTGACACACCAAACAACTTGCACAACACGGCCACAATCACAAAGCATACCTTATCCTTTCCAAGGCAACTAAAAACATACCTCGCAGGGTTCTAAAACTCGAAGATGAATGAATTCCTTGCAGCAATCACGTTTACTCAATTAGAAATCCGCAGACTGAAGATGGTCTGACTCCCTGACAGACCACCCATGTTGAGCTTTATCAAAATTAATCTTCCTTAAATGACCAACCAAATGCAGACTTTCTGCCTTGATTATCTCGATGCTACCATTAGAAACAAAATCACTGACCATAATCGACTATAAAGCCTTTATAGTTGGCAGAAGGCTCAGATAATCCTTCGAGTAGAAGATCCATCCCCGCAACGGTTAGACTCAGACGAGAGCTGTGCAACATGGTAAAATCTATTACTCTAAGATTATTTAATCCCAATGTGAGTGACTGAGCATAACCCAAAAAATTAGTTACTCCATCCATATATGAAATCCTAAAACACTAATACCACCAGAAACACTAAAACTACTCGAAACAGCATGCTTCCATATGACTGCCTTCCAGAATTCACCGCAACCTTCTTGTTCTCAATTCGTTCACCAGTCATCTGAAATACCTGGAATTTCAGCCCGATTGCGGAGCCAAAAGACTCCCATGCAATCACCCCACACTACTTCCGAACGAAATCCTTGTCTGTCAATAGTTGCCACTAGTTATCTTGCTACGGTGGCTCTAACGACCTTTTGATCTAACTGATCGGGTCCATACGTCGAGTCCTGACGTCACCAATTCCATGGCTAAAAGTGATTACTACATGACTAAAATGTAACCTTGTACCACAAACGACCTTATACAGTCCATTGTTTCCTTAATCCCACAATTATAGTGGTGTTCCTATGGTCGTATCGCTGGCTCAACAAGGTCTAATTCATCTGGGGAAATCCGTAATCCAGTCCGTGGATTTGCCACGCCCTCGCTGTTGCACCCGAACTGGGAGCTACTACTATTCTTTCCACTTTCCAACAACACGTTCATGCTATCTACCAACCTAGTGAATGCTAATGCTACACCCGCAGTCTCACAACACTCTAGCACTATCTGCCAATCTCGTGAATGTTACGACTAAACTCGCAGACTTGCAACACTCGCCATACTACCTGACCGCTAGTGAAGGCTACGGCTACTCCCGCAGTCTCACAACACTCTCCATACTACCTGACCGCTAGTGAAAGCTACAACTACTCCCGTAGTCTTACAAAACTTTCCATACTACCTAACCGCTAGCGAATGCTACGACTATCCCCGTAGTCCTACAACACTTTCCATACCGGGTCGAACACGCACTCGACCTAACACTCAACCGAACTCGAGTACTAACTGGAGCTCTAGCCTGGTCCCTGAAACCTTCTATCTGATGCTAAGGAAAACGTGTGTACCAAATTTTGGAACGTTTTTCAAACTCCTAATTCACCCAATCCTCAACCTAGACAGTCACTCGACCACCTTCCTCCCTGACGGAGATGCAAAACTCATCCAATTTTCACACCTATTTATGTGTAATATCCTAAAAATACGATCCAAATTTTTCATTTTTAAGACACATACTTAGCAAAACATTAGAATTAAAACATTCAACGATCATATCATTTCATAAAATATGTGCGTGTCTGGAAACCAGTTTATAAAAACATAACAAAGTCAGAGTACAAATCCCCAGGAAGATCTCATAGTGCGGAATACAAGCGTGTGTGTGATGTGTTGCTACCGCGCCAGCTCCTTCCCCTTCGAAGAAGAGGTACCTGAAACCAAAACTGAAAACTATAAGCACGAAGCTTAGTGAGTTCCCCCATCATACCACATACCATACAATCACATATCATACATATTGCCGGGCAATTCTGGGGTGCCCGACTTACCCGGTACGGCCATTCTGGGGTGCCAAACTACCCGTGTCAAGCCGTTCTGGGGTGCTGACTACCCATCGGCCCTAACGACCGATCCTCGGGGACTATTTCACCCCCTACTGCTACTATCACATATATCATACATAACATATTATCAGACATATCTGAGGTGCCTGAACTACCCTTCGGTCCTAACAATCGAACTTGGGGACTGGTCCCCTCCTACTACCTCTATCGCATATAACATAACAAGCCATCATGCAAACATATCATCACATACTGTCAGACGTATCTGGTGTGTCTGACTACCCTTCGGTCCTAACAACCGAACTCTACTACTATCACATACAACATATCATGCTAGCATATAACATATCAGGTAGTAGCAAACCTAGACGATATCACAAAGACAATCATCTATCATCCGTCTCCTACTGGTGGGCCGGCATTGTGGCCTTAGAACCACCGCTACTGGAAGGTAACTCACCTCGAAAGTAGCTGCTGAAATCTGCTTGCTGAGCGCCTGACTGCTGGATTGCAAATCCTCCGGCTATACACCATAAACATATGTTAGACACACATAAATACCCTTAGGTCAAAAGACTGACCCTCCTTTGGTCCAAGGTCAACTCCTTAGTCAAATTCAATGTCCATTTGACTGGACTCGTCGAGTCATGGCATAGACTCGTCGAGTCCTTACCCGACCAGACCTCCTTCCCACTCACTGAATCACCCTTAACTCATTACTTGGGACGATTGAACCGACTCGCGACCCGACTCGCCGAGTTTGAAGAACAACTCGCCGAGTTCCAGGCAATCTTCATAGGACTCGCCGAGTTGTTCATTCAACTCGCCGAGTTCCTCCTAGGGACTCGCCGAGTTCCTCCTAGGGACTCGCCGAGTCCCTATGACCCATTTCCCATATAGGCCAATTCTGAGACATGCAACGCTTCAAAACCACAGATCCATGTTCCTTGAGCATGCTTATCACGTAAAGTTGCAAACTTTACATGCATTCATGGCCCTATAAGCTCATAGGGCCAAAACCAAACTCTTAATGAGGTCATGCACTCAATGGGGACCTCAATCACTTCAACCACAGAGGCTTTATGCTTCTAATTCATCCAATAAGCCTAGATCTGAAGTCCTTTTGGATCATTTAGCACAACACATGGAGTTTGGTGTTTTAGGGCTTGAAAACCACCAAATTGGGACAAAAATGGTAACTAATGACCTAAAGATCAAGGTAGGGACTTTTCTACCTGAATGGAAGCTTCTCCCTGAGTAGAGTTCGGATCTACTCCTTTCCTTGCACTCTTCAACCACCTCTTTCTTCTTCCAAGTTCCAAACCTTCTTCACAAAGCCAAAAACACTCTCAAGAACAATATGGGGGCTAGGATCTCGCTTTACTGCTCTCTGGAAGTGTTAGGGACAAAGGAGGCCAAGTTAGAGTGTTTAAATAGGGTGCAAACACCTGGATTAGGGTTTTTGCCCAACCAGGGCCTACTCGTCGAGTCCGGGGACCGATTCGCCGATTCCAAAGTCCGACTTCTGTGCCTTGTCACACTCCTACTCGGCGAGTTGGCCCATCAACTTGACGAGTCCAAGGCAAAATGCATTATTTTAGGAAAGTAAATAGCAAGGAGTACGTATCGGGAACCAGGTGCTACATTTTACTCCTAAATACCTGGTTGATTCTCCTCCACATAGATTCGACTAAGTCATCACGGCACTTAAGAATTAAAGGATTGACAATCCTTCTTGGTTTCTAATAATCAACTGTTGACACTCTATGGTTACCAATGCTAGCGATCAATTACCAGTCAAACCATGAGATCGACCATCCCCTGAAATCCTGAAGTGTACTCTTGAAATCTGGTCCGGTCCGACACCTGAATCCACCTCCCATGCTGACAACTGGAGGTCTTAATCTTTACCCTATTTGGCGAATCCTCTTTCCCACTTCCAATCTAGTAGCACCACTAAACTCTAACCGAACATAGCCCATGCGAAAATACAATTCTCTTGAACATCCAATAATCAAACACATATGCGTCTAACACTTGTATCTTCCTGCTACCGCTCCTCTCCTAACGCCATTAGTGCGATAACCCAGAAGTTCTCCCATTGGCCACCGCCGATCATACCGGAACAGATGATAAAACCAATATATCCCATCGATATGGGTGGACTAGCTTGATGAAACTAACCACAAGCCTTCCACATAGTACCTCTAACCGATCTCCACTACGAACTGAGAGAACACTGAACACCTCGATCCAACAAAAGGGGAACGACCTTTTACTAACTACTCAGTAATTCATGGTATGCAATTGGCATATGAAGATATTTGATGATCAACCCCAACCGGAGCAAATTAATAAACCAGGGATACAATTACCCAATCCGATACAATATTCCAAACAAAAGCAAAATTCTCACAATAATGTGTCGATAAAACTGAAACAAGGCAAGGTTACATACCCGCAACATTTCCTGCTGGAGTTCTGAATTCTCCTGAATGACACTGCAGGGCCTAAATCCTATATGTTGGGGCTCCTACCCCACCTTCTCGACCATCAGAGATTTGTAAAATAGCCAGAGAAGGTGCCTTCACTGCTTCTCCCCTCCTCTTCGGACAGTCGCCCTTCTTGTGGCCCACTTTATTGTAGTGAAAACATAATGGTCTTACCCCCTGAGAACAATTTATGCTGGCATGACCAACCCCGCCACACTAATAGCAGCCTAAACCCCTGGAATGTCAAACTCCCTTGTGCACTTTCCTGCACGTGTTGCACTGACTCCGACCCTGGTGGCCTTTCACCCAATGATCAGAAGTCTTGGGTCTCTTCCCGGGACCCTCTACTACATTTACCTGGCATGACCCACTCTTCTCAAAGTGCTCCAAATCGATCTCTCATCCTCGAACTTTGGAAGTCATATCCTCCAGGGTCTGACACCCTGTCATGCTCACTAGCTCACTTGCCAATGGCTGAGCTGCAATAGCTGGAACATCCTCTGCCCCCAAAAAGGGTCACAAACTCCTTCCCGTAAATCCTCAGATTCTCCAAGACTCGCACCGGTTCGAGTATGGATCATGTGCTTTTAGTAGTACGGGCCCAATACTACCATCCACACCTATCCATACTTTCCTTAACAATCCTCCTGAATCCTCCAAGTCACTTCCTCTAACTGATGCACCCAAGTCTCACTAAACCTCACTACTAACCCACTAAAGCATATCCTAGTCTTTCCTAGGTTCCTGAACCCACCCCATCCTTAGCTGCTAAAAGATTCCCAATAATGCCAAATAGCTACCTCATGAATATAACCACATATAACAGTGATCAGATAATCATTCAAGTAAAAGGCTTATCCCTAAAACGGTTAGACTCAAACGAGAGTTGTGTAATAAGGTCAAGTTCATCACTCTAAGATTATCCAACATGTGTCACATGTAACTTAGCATATTTACTTAGTAGCTAACTCACATTGCTAAGAGCCCAACATAGCACAAAGCAAGCAGCATTCAGACAAAGGAAAAATCTAACCAACATACTCTAATCAAACCATTCTATCCTCTTATCAGGAATCAAACCATTTTAATTTATAATTTTTAATCATGAAAAATATTTCAAACATTCAATTTTCCGTTCAAAAGTTATAAAAACTTCAAAATATTAGTTATAAGTTACAATACAAATTGGTACATGGTAAAAAACATAAAATAGCAAAAAAAATTCATTTGAAAAAAAAAAAGTAGGATCGGATCGGATCTCAATCCTAAGATCTTACGATCCTACCACAAATACGAATTATCGTTTAATTTATATTCTGTTAAGTTAAATTTAAATTTAAAAAAAAAAAAAAAAACGGATAATCAAAGAAATAAAAAAAAAAAAAAAAATACAAATATAAAGTTCTCCATAAACGAGAGTATACAAATCTTGATTCCAACAACATAGTAACACTATGTCACCGCACAATCTCCAGAATCCGAAATTAAAAAACCCAGCCACAACAACCACCCCCCTCTCCTCCTTCCTCCTCCTCCTCATCCTCCTTGTTCTCTCTCTCTCTCTCTCTCTCTCTCTCTCTCTCTCTCTCTCGTCCTTCATTCTCAACTTCGCTGCTCCGGCGGAGAGTGGGGGATGGAATCCTTGTCGGCCAGGAGATAAGAAGAAGATACAAAGGAGGGGAAAGTGATGATGCACAACAGTGTATAAAAGCACCGACACCTATACTGGTCGGCGCATAGTGTCGTCACCCTCTCTTTCTCTCATGGATGGATTCTCCTTTTTCTTCCATTACCCTTTTCTATGTAACAGAAGAACTTGGCTTCGTTCCCACGGCAGCATCTTCATCTGATTAATAGTAAAGGTTGAAGTACAGATTTATAAAAAAAATTAGTCCTGATTCCCAATTCAATTACTTTTCTGTTCTGACGGAACAACCATAGCGTTCCTTTTTGCTTCAATTTCATATTTGTCGACAGACCAAGACCGTGTTGATTTGCGTTTGAAAAGCAGCAGGAGAAGGGCGGTTTACAATTATAAGATGCAATGGATAATCAGATTTCCAGGTTTTGTATCCGCTACAATGGTCATGATTGTTGTAGCTCCTTGTCTCCAATCTTTTCATCCTGCTGAAGCCATAAGATCTTCTCATACTCATATTGACGGACCCATTCGTCTCCCCGGTGGTCATAATCCAGGCAGCGTATCCTCCTTTCGTAGAGCTTCTACTTTCCGTAATGCCGCCGGATGTGAACCAAAGAAAGGATCAGGGAATGTATGCGATCCGTCTCTGGTGCACGTTGCAATTACTCTGGATTTCGAGTATTTAAGAGGTTCAATTGCTGCGGTTCATTCGATATTGCAACACTCGTCATGCCCGGAGAGTATTTTCTTCCACTTTTTGGTTTCGGATACGGGTCTGAAAACCCTAGTTGGGTCAACTTTCCCGGAATTGAAGTTTAAGGTGTACTATTTTGAGCCGGAGATTGTTCGGAAATTAATCTCAACATCGGTGAGGCAGGCGTTGGAGCAGCCGTTAAATTACGCGAGGAATTACTTGGCGGATATATTGGAGGCGTGTGTTGGGAGGGTGATCTATTTGGACTCGGATGTCGTGGTGGTTGATGACGTGTCGAAGCTTTGGAATACAAGCTTAGGAGAGAAAACCATCGGGGCACCTGAATATTGTCACGCCAACTTCACAAAATATTTCACCGCCGGTTTCTGGTCCAACAGCCAGTATGCTAGCATTTTCCAGGACAGGAATCCGAAGCCTTGTTACTTTAACACGGGAGTCATGGTAATCGATCTGGGTAAATGGAGGCACTCCGGCTACACCAAAAGGATCGAGAGGTGGATGGAGATCCAGAAGAACCATCGGATATATGAGCTTGGATCGTTGCCGCCGTTCCTGTTGGTTTTTGCTGGAGACGTGGCTCCGATAGATCATGGCTGGAACCAACACGGCTTGGGCGGGGATAACGTCAAGGGTACCTGCCGTGACCTGCACCCTGGTCCGGTCAGCTTACTTCATTGGAGTGGGAGTGGGAAGCCATGGCTAAGACTCGATTCCAAACACCCCTGTCCCTTAGATGCCCTATGGGCTCCATACGATCTCTACGGATACTAGCCGCCGTCAATCTCATTTTATCCCCTCCCCTCCGCCGGTACATTTCTCCGACTCAGACCAATGTTTTTTTTATTTGTTTCTTACGTCTTCTTCTTCTTCTTCTTCTTGTATTACGTTGGATTTGTTTTTTTTTTTTTTTCTCGGGGTTTATAGTTTTTGTTGGATTTGTATTCTATTCCATTGTTTCTGCATTCTGATAATAAAAGTCAACAAATATTCAATTTCCATCTTGCTTCTGATTTTCCATGAACATGCTTACCTTTTGATTCTTGTTAACAAACCCCAGTTTGTCTTGTGTTGTGTAGATTTTCCATTACGATTTTAACTTTTATTATCAGAAACCGAGACTCAAGAGGCCAACTAGTTTTCAGTATATCTTTATAAAAGAAAGAGTAAATTAGTTTGGGTTAATTTGCGTGTTTGGTCCCTAATTTATTTTTTTAACTCGGAAAGTTCCTACTGTTGTTTTTGTTACGCGTTTGGTCCCTATTGTTTGTTTTTGTTACGCGATTGGTCCCTGTTTTACCTAAAAAGATTATTATTTAAATAGGAAAAAATTGTGGGATAGGTAAGGTAAGGTGATGGGGGTTGGGTTTGGGGTGTGTTTATTTAAATATTATAAAAAATCAAGGGAAAAATAGTTTTTTTAGGTAAGACAGGGACCAAGCGTGTAACAAAAACAAACAGTAAGAACCTTCCGAATTAAAAAAATAAGTTAAGGACCAAACACGTAAATTATCCTAAACCATAGGGACCATTCGTGTAATTTACTCTAAAAGAAAATTAAATTTTATATACTATCTACCTAAAATAAAATGTAATAACAAATACATATCAGTTTAATTAATATAATTTTCTTTTTAATTTCTAAATTTTTAAATTTAATCTAATTAATATGATTTTCTTTTTAAATTTTCTTTTCGAATAAAAAAAAAGTTAAAAATAACAAATCGAATATCACATTTTAATATAATTGCTTTCATTCTTTATAAATTCAAACTCTCTAAATTTATAGATCTTCATATTTTTTTAATAAACTCATTTAATATACATCTCACAACTAATTAATATAATATAAAAATAAAATTATACAAATTTTATCTTTTATTATCAGAAACCATAGAAGACCAATTTTAATTGGTATAATGTAAAAATAATTTTTTTATTAAAATTGCTGGAGTTGACTCTTCTCGTAAATAAAAGATGATAACACCAATTATAAGAAGTTACTTATAGGTTAATTTTTAATAAAGATGTCTACGGGGTAATTTTTGATAAAGATGTCTATGGGGTAAGGGGTATATATATATATATATATATATATATATATATATATATATATATATATATATATATATATATATATATATATATCAAAGATAATGAGAGGGAGTAAACAACAGATTAATGTGCGTGTCTGTAATGCACAGGTTGCTCATGTGGAGTGCATTGGTGGGTTTGGTATATTGTGGTGTATCCATTTTCCTAAATCTGGATCATGTTTACAACCCTATTCACAAGTGTTGAGAGAAAAAATATTTATTGTTTTTACTTTTTTTTTTTTTTGTAGCATTACTCTGTTGTCTGTTGATAAGAATCTCCTGTGAAAATTCCAAGTGAATAAAAGGGGAATAATATAGCATTGCATATATAATTATAACATATTTAAGGGTGGGGAATGATATATTGGTATAGAAATGCTGAAGGTGGTGTGAAAAAAGGAGAACATTTCCCTCCAATCCCCCTTCTTTCACACACAAAGGAAGAGGAAGAGGAGAAGAGGTGACCCTCCACTTAAAACTGGAGTACAATCATGAATGTCGAATTACAATACGTGCTGTACCTTTCTCAGTCTTGTTGTAATATATAGAATTTCTCAATGTATTTATTTTTTTGTCTTCAAAACTATTTAATATATTTTATCTTTTGTTTTTTTGTTTTTTTAGGGGCGTTTGGATTAGCTTCTTAGATTATTGCTTATATCTTATTTGTGGTGGGAATAAGTAATAAGCATGGAGAGGAATGCTTATTAAAATTAATTTATTTAGCTTAATAAGTTGGATTTTATCAAAACACTCAAATTAACTTATTGTGGGAATAAGCAATAAACATCTTTTTTTTTCCTATCTAAACATCCCTTAGTTTATATATATATATATATATATATATATATATATATATATATATATATATATATATTGGTTATCCCTATAGGTCATTAGATTATCCCTATTGATCACAAAAACTCATCATTTTCAACTTTAAATAAAGCAATGTGTCCATCAATTATTAGTTGTGATAAATCATTTTTTATAATTAAAACTAATTTAATTAGTAACTACAATCAATTTATAGTAAAAAATTAAATAAAATATATAATTAGTTTTTCTCTATAAAATAAGCCTAATATTGATATAATTTTTTAATATATTTTTATTATAAAATTAGGTTTGATTAGATTGCTAATGGATGTAAAAGATTATGTTTAATTGAGTTTTAGAATGAATGGATTATTTTTTAATAGATAATTGTGTTGTGTTGGATTGTTTTTCCATAATAACACTTTAACCTCAAAACCCAAAAGCATCATCTTCTATTACTTTCAAAAATATCACTTTCATAGGCTATATTTATACATTTTAATGAATTATATATACCCTATTTTCCTACAAATTTATTTAATTAAATTTTATACCTTTTAATTATGATTAACTAATTTATTATAAATTAACATGATTTTTATTTATATAATTTCGATTTATAATTATAAAACTGAAATCGTTTACTTAAATATTTATAGAAACTAACATCATCAATGGAGGAAATTCGGATCGTTACATCAAACATGATGTATAACTTGTCCACATGTCTTAAATTATTAAGAAATCTATTCAAATTCAATTATCTAACAATATAGGCAAACCAGAGTTCATGGTCATCTTCTTCAATTTCTCATGTTTCAAGTAACAAGCTATAAGATGAACAATGGGCCGGACTCATACCAGACCGGCCCGAAGACCAAAAATCGTGAATTAATTACCTGAAAACCGTACCATTTTTGGGTGTATCGGTCCGGGTTCGGTTCGGTCCGGTTTCGGGTATTAAACCGAGTTTCGGATTTTGGACCGAATTAGACTTTAGCAGTGTCGTTTACAATCTCTGTCCAGTCCTATTCTGAATACCAAACTTGGATTTGTATACATTAGTTTTTTTGCCATATATATATATATATATATATATATATATATATATATATATATATATATATATATATATATATATATATATATATATATATATTGTAAGACCCCAACTTTCGTATTTTTGAAAGACCCAAACTTTCATATTTCACATTATCATTACTCCAAAACATGCTATTTGCATATTCATAAAAACAATATTTTACATTGATATAAAGGAATTACAAACTATTGGATACAAACCTTCTATTACAAAATGTTATATATATTACATAACTACCTAGGATATTGTAATTTATATAAACATAAAAAGTAGTACAAAAGTACTATTACAAACTATTCTACCTCTCTCAATAGTATGAAAACATACTAATTATTTATCACCTGCAATTGTTAAACATTGATAGGGTAAGCAGTGACGCTTAGTGAGTTCAAAAATAGATACAATATAATGTTATGCCATATATATATATATATATATATATATATATATATATATATATATATATAGTTCAATGTGGCAAAGCAAAGAGGAACAACAAGATGTATGTGAGATCATGTGACAAGCGTTCATATTAATCAAAGACATTATTCAAAGATATTCTTTTCAATTCTTGATATACATCAATAAAGCTATGGCCCAAATGGCATAGATGACATGCAATTTCTAATTAACATCTTGTTAGATTTCAGGCTTATAGTCCTGTCTAACCATTTGCCAATGCCATATAATAGAAGTCATTCTCTTACGGAGACATGCTCTACATGGCCAGAGGCTACGTACCAGTACCAATGTGAATCTAAGTCCTTTCACTGATCACATGGTCAAAGGTATTACAATTGCTATAAACATAGCGAATAACACAAGAAAATAACTCAGAATGATAATACTGAAAAGCACATAGCACATATAACACATAACATACAATTGTTCCTATATATTGAACTCACCTTAAGTTAACCGGGGGTTAAAATAGTAATTTGGACAGCACTTCGGCTTTAAATATGCCTTTCTATGTTGAAATCCGGGAGTTTGTTTGAAAATCGGGCTCTGCGAAGGTAAGGCTTCAAAACCGAAAAGATAAAATTGCCGGGCTTCTCGAGGGTCTCGGGACGTGTTTCGGGTGCTAAAATTGATACCGGGGCTTCGGGGAAAGTCAAAATAGTGAAAATACGGAAAAAGGGGCCAAAAATGGAAAATTTCCAGTTCTAGCTGGGAGGGTTCGCACCCTCCTATTTATAGGGGCGAGGTTCGGATTCTGTGGCTGAGAAGCGACGATGTGGTTGCTGAAGAAAAGGCCACAAAGCGAGAGGAGGGGAGAAGACGTGTACCTGCGAGCTTCGTACATCTGGCACTGGGTGCGAGGCCGCTGCGAGGCTCGGACGTGGCACCGGGTGCGAGGCGGGTAGGCGAGACGTGTCTCGCGTCGGGCTGGCCACCGATGCGAGACGTGTCCCCTTCCTGCTGGACCTCAGCCTCAGCGAATCCTCTTGTGACACCTGCTGACTTCGGATTTGGCCACGTCTCCGGTGACGCTGCTGCTTCGTGCAAAGGTGACGTGGTCGATACTGTTCATGCGGGTTTTCTCGATTTTTGGGCCCCGAACTTCTAAAATCCATAACTTTTGTATACGAGCTCCGTTTTTGACGTTCTTTATATGCACGCGTAGCTAAAATTACACTCTTCAACTTTCATTTAGACTTCGTCGGCTAATTTTGACTTTAATTTTAATATTATTGTTTTTAACAGACCGGGACAAGAAAATCCGTTAAAAATTCATAACTTCTTCATCCGACATCCGTTTTATCATACTTTTTACCGTTGTACTACATATGACGAGACTTTAGATTCTCGTTTAGGATGTATCGGTAAAATATCGCTCGATCTAAAATTCGAGTTTTTAGCTGTCTACTGCTAAGTTGAAACTTCGAAAAATCATAACTTCGTCATACGAAGTCAGATTTTGGCGTTCTTTTTATCGAATTTCTCGGTTTAATGAATACTACGACTTTCATTTAGATTACTAAGGCTAAAAATTAGTTTATCAAAAACTCACTTTTTACGTCATTCGGCGTCGTGCCGGTTTTGTCGCAGATCTTCGGTTGGTTATAACTTCTTCGTTATAACTCGGATTTTGACGAGGTTTTCGCCTACAAATTTCTAACGAGATTCTCTACAACATCAAATAATAAAATTTTACTTATTTAAAATTTCATATTTTCGCTAAATTTCACTATTTGGCTTTTAATTGGAATCTCATAACACTTCCAATATTTTCTGAGTGATTCTAAACATAGTTTTACTTCATTTCTAGTAAAAACCATCTGTTAGAACTCAACACTCAATTTTACATAATATTTCACAATTTTATTCATTACAAAACACGATTGTAAAACGTGTATGTTACAAATACCTCCTCATTTTGAGGATTTCGTCCCCGAAATTACATTTATTAAAATAAATGGGGATATTTTGCTTTTATCTCATTCTTATTCTCCCAAGTATAGTTTAGGCCACGATGGTGTTTCCACTTGACAAGCACCAATTCTACTTCTTTATTGCGTAGCTTAGTTGTTCTTTCATTCACGATTTCTTCAGGCTCTTCTACATATCTTAACTTATTATCCAATTTCACTTCGGATAATGGAACTGTCTCATCGTAGATGCTCATGCATTTGCGCAGATAACTTACATGAAACACATCATGAACACCCGCCAAATCTTCAGGCAATTCTAAGCGGTAAGCTTGCTTTCCAATTCTCTGGATGATTTTGAAAGGACAAACAAATCTAGGATTCAACTTTCCTTTCTTCCCAAATCGCATAAGGCCTTTCCATGGGGATACCTTCAGCATCACGAAATCACCCACTTGAAATTATATAGGTCGTCTTCTCTTTTCCGTATAGGACTTCTGTCGATCCTGGCCGCTTTCATTCTTTCTCGTACGATTTGAATCTTGTCGGTAGTGTCTTGAATCATTTCAGGGCCTCTAAGGATCTTCTGTCCTACATCACGCCAACATAATGGCTTACGGAATTTGCGACCATATAAAGCTTCATATGGTGGCATTTTGATTGAAGTGTGGTAACTGTTATTATACGAAAATTCGACAAGCGGTAAGTATTTATCCCAGTTACCACCGAACTCCAAAACACATGAACGAAGCATATCTTCTACTGTCTGGATTGTTCTCTCTGTCTGACCATCTGTCTGAGGATGATAAGTGGTACTGAGAGCAACTCGAGATCCCAATTCGCATTGCATACTCGCCCAAAAGTGAGAAGTGAAGCGAGTATCGCGATCGGAAATGATCTTTAGTGGCACACCATATCTTGCAACAATTTCATCCAAGTATACATGTGCGTATTTCTCCATTGGAGCCGTTTCACGCATAGCGAGAAAATGTGCACTCTTAGTCAGACGGTCGACGATTACCCAAATGCTATCATTCTGTCTAGCAGTCTTTGGCAATTTGGTAATAAAATCCATGGATAGCTCTTCCCACTTCCATACATGAACACTAAGGCTTTCTGGAGTTCCATAAGGCTTTTGGTGTTCTGTTTTGACTTGTAAGCATTCTAAGCA